CATCATCTGCCATCATTTCAAAACTCCTGTAGCAGTATGAGTCAACCTATTAACCTCAGGGCTGTCCACTGGTTCACTTCATTATGACCGGGGAAGTATTCTATAAAAGAAGGCACGCTATAAAGAGGACACTGGGTACTCATCCCTGTGTATTTGCAACCAGTTATCTTGTATTTATCTGTTTGCTGTTCCCTCATCTCGACTCACATAAAAGCCTTTTGTGAGCATCTGTACTCTAATTCACATGACTGAAGCTCAGTGAGTTTGGTATTGTATTAAACAAAGATGATATCTGCCATTACATCTGAGCCCAGCCTTCAATTCAATAAAATGAAGCTGCACAATGCAGTCAGCCGGCATTTCTTATAGCAGACAAACCCTACAGTAAATTGCACTCGGACACAAATCTCTGAGACTGCAAAAGCATGCGTGAATTTCTTACCAGCCCTCAATCAAGCACAGCCCATTGGATTCTTGCAGTGTAAGCAGCCTGGTCCCCCACTATGGGGATCCAGGACTGAATCAATGTTTTAAATGCTTTCTGCACTGATAGAAGAGCTCTTCCAAGCAATAAAGTCACTAAAAAAGGAAACCTTCAATATCACCGCATCTTAGTTTCCTCATTTGTTTGCATACCCTGCAGCAGATAGGCACTTTTCTGAAGCTGTAAATCTCTTTTATTTCATTATTTACAAATATGCAAAGCTATCTTTTTGACCTGTGCCTGTCGTGTGCAGTCCAGCACTGAGCACACATACAATAACAGTACAGATATAAAGAAAGCCCAGCCAGAAGAAGAGAGCCTGCAGCTCCTCTCTCTTAATGGCGTAGGCATCTCACCCTAGGACAATCCAGACTGAAGAAAGTAGGCATTTCTACGTAAGGGTCTTGTATTCTGCTTAGTATGCCTTTTCCTAAAATCAATGTGACACACAAACACAGAGAACAGACTGAAAGCTTGAAAGCAGAGTGATGAATGATGATTAAGAGAAATGGGTATATATTTTCAAGATCAGTGGATGGAATTCAATTTTAATGTCCCCAAAAAAGATTGCTTGATTAAATTTCCAACCTGACAATCAATTTATTTCTGCCATTCAAAAAAACAGATTCTACTTTGCACATTCTAAGCAAGCAAAAAGCATTTCTAAAGGGATGGAGTGCAATTTAAGAGTTTGCTCTGGGCCAGTTGTGAATTTCTTCATTTACAATTCTGCTTTCAAACCCTTGAACTGCTCTATAGAACGGTGTGGTATTTCATGATCTACATAACCAGCTTCAGGAACACGTGTACCATGACTTAAGAGTCTTTGCACTCAGACACTCAGTGTGAGTATTTGTGGACATGCAACAGCCTGTTCCTCTAGGGGTGAAGTGGCAGCTCTCCTACAGCTTCCACCTAATGTCACAGAGCCTCTTCTTCACATGCTGCTCTCTGTGCTGTTGTTAGAGATATACGCCCCTGTGTGAACAGAAAACAGCCACACCACCATCTTCACACATACATTCACAGATCAGCACAGAACTGGAAGAAGTCATCATTGTAGTCATTAAAAGAATGTAGGCCAGGGATTTAGTCATGTGGTGGATTAGTAAAATAATATGTCACCTGAGTATTTATAAACTCTGACACAAATACAAAACAAAAGGAAATCAGATTTCCACAGCGCAACGGACCAGCTCAGCTCAGGCCAAGAGCAAAAAGCAGAGAACATAAGAACATAACAAGGGTTACAAATTGGAGGACATTCAGTCCATCTCACCAGTCTTGCATTTAGCACGGTCCCAGGACCTCGTCCAGACATTTCTTAAAAGAAAGGCTTCAGTGACATGGCTAGGTAGCTACTGCAACCCCCAACTATTTGGGTAAAGAGGTGCCTGTTCTTCAATGTAGTTTTCACTTGTGCCCTCATTCTGAAAGGTAGAGCTGGAATTCTCCATGGCATATAGACATGGACCATCGCAGAGTTTCCACCAACACTCAGCTCTTCGGCAAAGCAATCACACCCACTGTGTCCCTTTACAGACTGCAGAACAAGCTCAATTCCAGTTTACAGGTTACTGCTGGCTTTTCAACAGCTACAAGAAACCCAACGTATCATTGAGCCTATCCATATCATTGAGATATCCATAGTCTTTATATTTTGTAATTTGCCTTTCATGATACATAATCTGAAGATGCTTTACAATAAAACAAAAGGTATAAATAAATTAGACACTCATTTGTAAAAGCTACTACTTCTCTACCAGACATACAGCCTCCTATACTATAGTACCTTTTTGGCACCTTGACAGAATTTAAGTCATTTTGTAGCTGTTTCCAGAGCAAGGGAATATTCTCTACTCAAGCACGTGGATAACACCTTCCTCAGGCAACCTTCATGTGACTGCATTCCTGCACTGAGATTACGCCAAGACTCAGTACCCCTGTCTGTGGGTGGATGGCTGACACAGTGGGGATTCACTAAGTTAGAAATGTTGTATAATGAATGCTTCAAAACTGTCCGTACCAGTGAAGCCAACTTTTAAACCCACAAACCACTTAATGCTCTTTGCTTTGTGTTGAATTTTGCTGATCAACATTGATCACAAACATGTAAATCTGTATTTCATGATAAGAGGCCTTTAGACCTTTCCCCTGAAATACTAGAGGCAGATGTTTGCACAAAGAGTGGTGGGTGGCTGGGTATACAAATACATAACATAAAGCAACAGATACAAACAACTGAGCAGACATGCAGTATATACAGTAACTTGGAAGACAAGGTATGCTAGAAATAGCAAGCAGACTATGAAAACCTGTATCATATTAGGTGTCCTGCATTTAGGAGCAGAACACTGAACAAATATCACAACATGTTCTGACACAAGCTTCACATTTGAATCTAAATGATTACAAATGAACAAAACTGAAATACATTTTAGGAGCATATTCGAGACGAGTTAGCCGGACGCCTCTGGGTGCTGTTAAGGGTTTATAATGCATTCAAACAGTTGGGCTGCTGCAATGCAATATCTCTCTGCCACCACAACTCGTACTGTAGGTTTAGACTGAAACTCCACAGAAACTAGTCTCAGCCTGAGCACTCCAAGGGGTTTCTGAATTGGATTTAAGCAAAAGGTGCTGTATTTAATTCAAGGATGGGTTCTACGTTTATTGAAAACTCAAGTGCACTCCTCCTCGCCGTGACTATGTATCTCGGCTGTGAGCTGACAATATTCGCTCACCGGTTACATAAACAAGATAAGCGTCTTTTTCTGTTCTTAACAACTTTTGTTTCTAAAGAGTACGGTTTAAAAGCTTTCAAATCAGAGTCCAATTTCCTATCTCTGTCATTCACTCTTGAGTTCTGCTAATGACAAGGCTGGAGATAAAAGACGCGATTCCAATTAAATGAGCCTGATGAAGTTTTTTTTTTAGAGACTGTCAAGTATATTTTGGGCGAACAAGAAAACAACGTACAGTATGCAATGAAAACCGAGCGTCAGTCGTGATGTTTACTGTTTACATTTAACGTACCCATTAAATTAACTTCCCACGACAGCCAGTGCTGTCAGTTCTGAAATGGTCACTGTTCCATTAAAAGTGCAAAATCATAAAAATTACCATACATGCCACACTGACAGACCAGTTTCCCCACATGCTCAAAATATTTCGGGATTGAAAGCAAGCGCTGTTCCGCATGCCAATTAAAGCGCTACAGTCTCCCTAACGCGAGGGATCGCCTTGAGCGCATCTGAGCGCCTTCCACTATCTCCGCATAAAACAGCCCAAGAGTCTGTCAAGCGGAATACCCGCATTGCCTACCACAGCATTCTCCGTACGTGTGTGCGGGCAGGGACCATATCACAGTTACTGTGGCGCCTTTAAAGCGAAAAAGAGAAGAGCGCTGCCAACATTTAAAAAAAAACTTCTCAGTTTCTGAATATTCCGAATATGCAGTTGTTACTCTCTAGTGCAACACCTAGGCTTATGTCTTTTTACATATTGCAATCATAGAGACAATGGACTATTAGGCTTTCACTGACATTGCTTTAGAGTTGCACTCTGGAAACCGATGCAAAGCGTACACAACCAAACAGAGCACCAGAACAGAAACATGTCACTTAGCTTGAAGATAAATGTCCGAGGATGAAAAAGCAGAGCACAAAATTGTTGTTATTGTTGTTGTAGCAGCGTAAACACGTCAGCGCTAGAATATAAGGAAGTTGCACACACTCCCTAATGTGACAGCGAAACCACAACGAAACCAACTCGGAGAACTGCACCTGCTCTCCTGCAGTAACCTGGCTACAATAATGTCGAAGAACGGAAGAGCAAAGTTCCGCTCTTTTTCCAACTTCACCACACGCCTGGACCTATTTCACAAAAGCGCGACGTTACATAATGACACCATTGATCACCGTGGTCTCAAAACTGTAGCCTCCCTCGCGATACTCCTCGCTGAAATAAAACCCACAGAAATGTAAGTCCTCTTCTTCGCCAGGGAGATCGATGACCGACTCGCATCTTAAAACTTTCTTGCTTTTACATTTAATGAAAACCAAGTACGATGTGTATTCCCCGTTTTAAATATTTCTCACTATTTCCCCTGAAAATAGTCATTTTGAAACCACCCATCTGAAATATTGAATAATATCATCACAGCAAGTTACAGAATGTCGTTAAAAACAATAATAAAAATCAGAGAGGACACGGTTAATAATGTAATCGATTGCCAGCCAAGCACCCGGCGCTTATCTGAAACATCTATTTTCTTTCATTTGTACTTTATTCTTTTCATCGCAACACTGAGCCACGCAAGTAGAAGGATAAAAAAGGAGAGATCTCGGCCATGCGGTCTCTAAAATAGTCATATGTAATATTAGTCTGTGGCGAAGGCGCAGAGAAAATATCAGCCCGTTCTGTGCGCATTTTCACAGATCTCCCCGAACTTATACCCCGAATCTCTCCTTCCTGAAGCCTGACGAAAACTTGTTCCACCAATATGCGCACTCACCTTTGTATAGAGTTCGTTGACTGACATTTTTTCCGCGGAGATGGGTTAGCTTCTGATCACCAAAAGAAACAGGACCATGTAGCCTGGTCACAATTCCTCAGCTGTTATTATGGAAAAAAAACGCATATATTCCCATTTAAAGTATTGCCCCGGTTAGAGAGATGACTGTCCGGCGGTCGCCATTTTCGCGTAGGCACAGGTTTATAACTCCAGAACGAAAGATTGTTTTTCTTTTTCTAGTTATTATCTTTTGTGTGTGTGTGTGCTGATGAATCCCTTTTCTTTAAAACAGGCTAGGCTTCTTGGTTTTTTTTTTAATTCTTCGTCTTCTGAAAACACAAGTGTTAAACACTCCTCCACTCTTTGCTCCTCCCCGCACGCCGCTCCCAGCGCAGGTATGGACGCAAGCTGAAGGTGAGCTAAGTGTTAAATGACCAGTTTAAAAAAAAAAGCGACCGAGAGAGGGAGGCAAACGAAAAAGTAAAAAAAAAAAGGAGGGAGAAAAAAGTAGCCACGCAATTGCTCTCCTTACTTCTCCCTCGTGTCCATGGACTCGGTCATGTTTGCGTGCCGTTTAGCTGTAATCTCATTGCAGCTCGCTCCTGTCGAAACCCTTCCCGGACTACAGACACCTGCTGGCTCTCCCAGCTCAGCGCATTTCCGCATTGTCCCAGCGCGAGCACGGAGCAGCCGCCGCGAGCGACTTACCCATTCGGCACCACTGCGCCGCGAGCCGCGAGCCGCGTTACGGCATTCCCACCTGTTACTCGGTCTGCCCGTGAAGCGCCGTAGCGCGTAGAAGCAGCTGAGGTGTTGTCGCTCGGATCTGAGATCTGCTGAACACGTTACCCATATGACGTTTCTAATTGGAGATTCACAAAGGTACATGTTTTGGATCTGGGGATTTTTGTTCATTATTTCGTGCGACACCAAGCTGCGTGTACAGGATACATCACAAAGTTAATACCCATCCTCTTTCAATAAGCACTTTATCCTAAGAGGGTCGCGGCAAGCCTGAGCTGAGCTGAACTGCCTGAGTAGGCAAAGGGCGCACTGTAGGTGGCACTACACCTGGAGTAGGCATCTTCGCAGGACACATACAAGGACAGGGGGACATTAGGACTGGGCAGCGTGTCTGTGGACTGTGGAAGGACCAGCACAGGCCGCGGCGTCACTGCGAAACTGATGATGATGTAGTCTCGCATAACTTTTTACCGCCTGAGTGCAAGTTATGTTTAGGTATTATCTCAACAGACCATAGTAAGTACAGTATATCCTGCACTACATTTAAAATTTAGTCTCAAAGAGATATAATTACAATATATATCTTAATTGAATTATTGAAAATAATTATTGAATTCATTGGAAAGCATATTTTTTGCTACATGGAGAAAAATAATCAAAAGTATTACTCCTTGTTCTTCAACATCTTGGTGAAAGGTGGCAAAGGTGAGAAAATGGGAAACGTTGCAGGACAACTTTAAAACAGCTGGTCCGTTTGAGGAAAATTTGCTGCTGGTCAAAAACACTAAGGTTTCTCACCCTTACTCGTGGATCTCTGTAGAAAGACATGGCATTGTGCCACAGCCAGACTGTATCACAGAGTAGTCAAATGTATCCTGTGTTCACAGCTTTCACCTAAACAATAGATTTCTTTACGAATTAACCCGCCATGATAAATCACTGGCCGTCACTGTCTGTGACAGCAACCACACATTTGTAAATACAAATACTGATTTCTAAATCCCATGTAAATTGAGATATTGCTGTAAACACAAGAGAGAGAAGTCAGAGGGAGTTACCTTTGCGTACAGCTCATACTCCATCATCGTTTCTGTCCACTGCGGTCTTCTCTGGCCACAGTGTCCACGGAACAACCCCAAAAATCAGGAGTAAATGTTAGCTGAAAAGAGTAGCAGCTGAGTGGATTTGAATTAAAGATCCATTTCTTCTCAGTATTCCGTCTTATCCGATGTGGCAGTGTGAGGTTGCCTTTGTAACATCAGACTTCCACGAAGAGTACTGGAATAATTGTTGTCAATACTCTTTATTGCTCCACTCCCTAAACACTCCTTTCTCAGGTATGAGGTGTTGTCATCTGTTTTTGGAATCGGCCACAGGAAAATCATTCCCACGATGAAGTTGCTTTTTTTCCCTGCGCAATTGCAAAATGCTTATTTTTGCTGAATGCATTTGTTCCATCTTGTTGCTTTGGGAGAAAACAGTACAACAGGGGAGCTAGTTTTTGACGGTAAAAATGAAGAAGTCACCCATTTATAAGTGAAAATGTGCCATTTCTTTGCCTATATTGGTTTAAAAATTCACTCATTCCACTATTTCAAAACAAATCATTGACTTAATAAGAATACAGAATAATAATTCGGATGTATTTTGTGGTCTGTCAGATTAATCTCAGAACTCTGTCAAAAAAGCAGCAATTAAATAGCATTTCCTCTCTTGTTCAGACTTTCACGAGACCCTCTCTAAGTGTAGTGACTGCGCAGAAGAAGAATTCAAATTCTGTGTGTAACAGGAAGGCAGATTCTCTTCTGGTAACTCCCTGTCTGGAGTGGAGAATAGTGTCTGACTGCCAGGAGATTTCCAGGTTCAAATCCAGCCTGTGCCCCCAGAGGCTCGGAATGGGCAGTACTGATGGGCCAAGATGGACAGAAATAGACACCATGGGGTCTAGTGGGAGACCCCTGCTGTACTGGACATCAGCAGCCCAGCTGCTCATCAATGTGCCCAAAGATAAGCAATAATGGTTGTGTCAGTCCTCTGTTCAAAGTGTGTTAGTTTGGCAAGCTCATTAACTTCCCATAAGAAACTAGACAGTGAAACTAGACTAGAATGTACCAGACTGTAATCCTTTCATAGCTTTACGAACGGTCCTTTCCAGCATAATAAATGTAGTTTCTATGGGATTTTTTTATGATGAGCCTGAAGGACCAGTGTTGCCATGTCTAACCCAGCTGCCTCAGTCCTGCCCAGCTCTGGTCATGACTGGGCATCTGGGCACCACTGGTTGCAGAATTTTGCTGGCAAGAGGGTAAAGACAGAACATGACAGTCATCTGGCTGAGGTTGTCCACACCACCAGGCTCAACCTGCTGTCTAAACAAACTCCTGTAGCGATTGCGCCAGAATCTGACTCAGTCTTTTTTATTATGATTCAGTATCGACAAGGTGGCACAGTGGTGCAGTGGTTAGCATTGTTTCCTCACAGGGCTGGGGCCCTGCTTTAGTTCCAGACCTGGGGTGCTCTCCCTGTGTTCTTTCTATGTAGGTTTCCTATGGGTGCTCCTGTTTCCTCCCACAGCCCAAAGACACACAAGGAGGTTAATTGGTTTCTAGGAGTGTGTGTGCGACTGTGTTTGTGTCTGTGTGTGTGTGTCATATCATGGTCCACAAAGATATGGTATTTTACTTGGTGTGCAAATTTGAAAGTTCAGTTCACACTTGCTGCACTTGTATCAACAAGTACGGTGGTCACTTATTCACAAACCTGAGAGGACTGCCCAGACCAAAATCTCTCTGACATGGTAAATGGAACAAAGGGATGTACTGAATTTCTTGTGGGACTCCAGAAGGTGCACAGATCTCCACTGCTTTCCTAGAGAGCAGAGTGAGAGCGGAGTGAGGTATTTTCATTTAATCAACAGAGCAAGACCCACTGAGACACCATTAAAACAGCCGCCATCCTGTAGACAACCACTAGTAATCCAGATGAGATATCTATCTTTGCAACTTGGATTCTATTTTTAAAAGACAGTTGGGTTCAGCAATGACGTTGCAAAACACTTATACACGTCCACTGAACCAAAGGTTTCTGTATACAAGTTTTACAGAGCAATAGTAAAACCTCATTTAAGAGATAGTAATCTGCTCCATATCATGAAAAAAACTATCTAGATTTAGAAAGAGTTCAAAGAACAGCAACAAGTATCATTACTGCTCTAAAAGGATTTTCATATATGGTCAGGTTCAAGGAACTAAAGCTCTTAAACCTGGAAGAAGGGAAATTGAGAGCAGATTTGATTCAAGTCAACACCTAAGGGTCAACCTAGGGAACAAAGACACTGGCTCACAGCTGGAAACCACAAGGGAATCCATTTGTGTCAGAGAAACAGAACAATAAATAGCTGGATGAATCTTTAAAATTCATTCATTTTTTAACTAAATGAAAGTGAATTCATTTCTTTACTAAACTTATACCATATCTTGAATACAATGGGATCATTGCTACTGGATCTCTTGACAGGTACTCCTTTTCCTGTACATTCCATGAGCCCAATGGCATCACAATCGCTAACTTTCCCTTTAGGTCTACTCTGTCAAGTGAACTGAACTTATAGGCATCCTCTCACCTGCACCCTCCCGTGCGTTTTTCTGTGCTTAAGTTTCTCCCTGTCCTCCAGCTCCTTGTGAGGCAAGAAGCATTATTTTGATTTAGGTCTGGCAGAGGAGGAAAACTGACACATGAGAAAATCTCTCCCTCAGATATGGGGTGTCTGATGCACGTGCAGTAAGCAGGCTTGTCTCCCAAGGCCATCTGTAACTAAACACCGTCTACTCACTTTACAAAGTGTTAGTGACCGTGCAACACTGTTTCCACAATTTCTCACAAGCTCCTCCAGTGAACTAACACTGCTGGTAAGGAAACAGACTCAAATTGCTTATTAGGATACCGCTGACCACAGAACATTGATTCAGCCTCTGCCAAGCAGGAATATTGCTGACAATTAGCAGCAGGTAATTTTGCTTCAGACCTGCAAATAATTCAATTATCTACCATCTCACTCTCTCCGCAATGAAAATTAAAGAGCTGTTCATTTTGGTCATTATTTTGGTGGGGCATTGTGTTGCCATGGGTTTAAGGAGAAACAGAGAGAATGCTAACACATTGCTGGTGGATAGAGATGCCACCTTCAGAGAGTACAGTCACATACCTGTCATTAAAATAAAGACTCCAAAGGCTCCTGACTTTAAATCAAGAATGAGTGTGTGAAAGCAAAGCCCCAGGAATTAAGGTTGTTTTGATCCAAAGCCTTGGAAATTTGTAACACAGACTGCTGATCATTAAAAGCTTCAAGAAGGTTGCAACATTCATGTTTAATGATAGGCTGGAAGCAGAAACCTTGAAATATGTAATTGGAAATTCCAAGAGAAATGCTGAGATTACCATGGTTGCAAAAGTAACCTTACCTTCCTTAACTTCAGGGAGTCTGAAACAGACCGTGACTTCAGCTTCTTCACACTGGAAATTAATGCATATTAGACTCCATCCTCCTCCCAGCTGCACTGTCAATTTTGGATATAGTAGTGAAAACTTTTGATGCCACTACTCTGCAGCCTCATGAACTGAGGTAGATCTCTGTTGTTTGTGAGGAGGTGCTGTCCTTCAGGGGAAATATATTTACGCTGATGTCCTGACTACAGACCCCTCTGCACTGTAGTATAGGTTGCCCGATGACTGTCCCATTGTCCCATGCAGGTTTAGACATTAGACTACCCACATTCTTCACTGTAATGCCAGTGAAACAGCACAAAGAATGCATCAGGGAAAGAATTTGTAATTTGGTTTGTTTCGTGCTATTCACTGTTAACCAATAACACACTGGTATGTCTTTACTGGGTATTGGGTTATAGAATAAATGCGCTGAAATCTGGTAACATCTTTATTGCTGCATTTGATAATCTTCATTTCTTTTTATCTCTTTTTATTACATTTCCACTGGAGAATTAACACTTTCCATGTAACCAGTTATGACACAAATATGCTCACTTGAGAGCGCACCCCCACTGAGTTCTTGATGCACACCTGACACTGCAGGTGCAACATCATTAAATGAGAATCTCCCACGATCATCAGAAAATTAGAAGATTAAATTAATAACAACTTCAGGACTTTAAGAATGTTGCAAAAGTATTTCAGAAAAATGTGTTTCCTTCTTATTCAATGCCTGAACACTCTGTCCTTAGGTTCAGTTCCTTAACTCTGTCCTTATACAATATAGCTTGGCTTGTCTTGTCTTTTTTTGGCTTACACAGTTTTTAATATACTTTTTAAAATCAGATGATACTTCCGTGTCAATATCTTTTTTGTGTCTTTACTTTTACCTTTTATTTTCTTTTGAATTCTCTGCACTCTGTGATCCAGACACCACACGGTTCCAAACAAGGGACTGGTTCACTGTGAAACTGGCCCACTGAGTCAAGAAGAAAGAGGTCACTGGCCCTTACATCATCCCAGGCAGGCAGGGTTAGTTATTGCACAATGCGCCTCAGTGCTGACTCAACAGACCCACCCACATGTTCACCCTTGTCACGTGTAATTTCTTCACAGAAACATTTACTGGCCGCATTCCTAGATCAGAGGTCCCTTAATCAGGGCCGAGCCACAGGTGGAGCAACAGACAACATGCTTGTCTTATAGCAAGCATATCACAATATTGACTTTTACCGTGAGTTTGCAAAGCTGCCTGACAGTGAACATTTTCCTCACAAGCCCCACTGGGTTGTGTGATAAAACACATCCTAGCCTGTTGTTCTGATGAACAAGAGCTGTCGTCAGGCTCTTTACAACACCCCTTCTGACCCAGGGCTTTCTTACTGGAATATTTTGAGCTGGGTTGCTTGTAAGGAAGAGACCTTTCAGAGTGTCAGCCTGCACACACCTGCTGCAGGTTTTCAGTAGTTTCACCTCAGCTTCTCCATGTCTCCAAAGGGGCTCCTTGCCCCTTCTCTTACATGGAAAAAAAGTTTTCCATGTAAATACTGGGCTCTATATTGGGCTAAGATTTTTAAATGGGCTCTATTAAGGGGGAGAAAAGTTGTCATACAAACTGATTGATAATGTATACATTCAAATTTCGAGACTCAATAGTTCAGTGAAAGCTGGACAGGCTGTGTTTGTCTGGTCAAAGGCGAGGCACTTCTGATTCTTGTGATTAGGATACAAATGGGACAGTATTAAATTTTCCACATCTATTTTTTTTTGTTTTGAAATGAGGCAAAACATTTATCAGCATGTCAATTTTTTCAGAGACCTACCCTATACATTCTGTACAGTACAAATCTTCAATAAAGTGTGAATGCCCTGCCATCTAGTGGCAGATTGTAGTTACTACATTGTTTTGCTCGAAGATTATGTACTCTCGAGTTCTATGATCTCACTAATTCCCTTTGGATGCTACGGCTAGAATTAAAACCACTGACACCTAAACCAAAACAAATTTTATGGACATGCAAATGCAGCAAAAATATAAAAATTTTAAAACCTTAAAGAGGTTAAATGCTTTGTCTGATCCTAAAAGATCACCCTGTGAGGCAAGGTAAAGTATAAGACAGCCTAGAGCCCTGAGGCGTGGCTGTGTAACTCATTATTGTCAAAGCCAGATGTTTCCAGTCCCCAGCATCCGTGATAGCTGCAGAAGAAACCAATCAAGGCAAATACTCATCTTCTTTATTACATTAGATTTTATTCTGTTAGAGCTACAGCATGTGTTATGTTTCTGTGCTTGTGCAATGTCAGGCTGAAAGCCAGTCCTTGGGGCTGGAAAGACGGGCTCTTCTGAAAGGGTGTACCTGCGCCTGGTCGGAACAGGGCCGGGAGAGAGCTTGCTGAACCTTCTTCTGGTACTCCTCCTCAGAGAGCAGCCCGTCTTGAAACTCCTGCCACTCCTCGGCTCTCTCTGCCTCTCGCAGGCGCTGCTGGTAAGTCATCTGAGCCAGCAGCGCCCCCTGGTACTCCTGGTTAGCCTTCTTTCGGCTTCAAAGAAAGGTGGAAGAACAACATTTAAAAAAATGAAGAAGGTAGAAGGAGAAGCTGTATTCTATGCTATCACCCCACATGTGTTAAGCACAAATTAGAATAGCACCACTTTACTTCCAGAGTGTTTACACAATGACATGTACCAATCTGCATTAAGGCAGCAATCGGGCCAGACACTCCTAAAACACATTACAGTGGATCTGACAGCTATGGTATAAGATAATCCAATGGCCGATGATAGAGGGTGGGCTCCTGAGCAGGGGTTCAAGAATTATAACAGGGAATCCTGGGATTCGCCAACAGTGAGTTCAGCTGGAAAGCAAGCAAGCTGCAATGCTACATCAGAGGCCTAGTGGTGGCAAACAATAAGAATTTAGATTGGGATCACTATGAAAACAGACAGAACACACAATCTGTGAGTTCAACTATTTTTCTTGTACTTCATTGGATATGATACATCTTCCTGTCTTAATTAGGGTGTTTTTTCCTTTGCTTGAATAGGGGGTGTAGAATGATTCAGAAATTTTGATTTTTTTTATTTTCAACAGCAAAAAGGAGGCTAATCTCCTTGTCTTTACACACCTTATCTTCTTTGCCTCTTCCAAAGCTTTCTGCTCCTCGATGGCTCTGGCCAGCTCATCTCGCTCTTTTGCAAGCTGGGCCTGTTTCTGGCTGTTCTCATCCACTGATGGACAACATTCCAGAAAAATAATGTTCTCAACATTAAAACCAGTAAGGAAAATTAACCCGTTTCTATTTGCTTTAACAGCCCCATGACTGAGCACCAAGTTTAGCATCTGAAATACATATAAAGTAATGGTAAGAAAGAGAAAAAATGGTAAGAAAACTAAAACAAACTCATAAAACTCATGTTGAAAGGGACATTGCATCCTCCTGCTGCATAATCAGTAATATGAGAAACTCATCTGTAAAATAGTTTCTGTTAAAATATATAGCCTGTAAGCAAATTATCACACCATGACACATTACACGGTTGACTACAGAACAATGCCAATTAAGATCAATTATATTACTAACTGATTTACTCAAGACATTTAGAAACAAAATCAACGCAGCAGCCCTGTGAGTAAACATCTGATCACTGGGACCAGGTTTAAGAGTCACTCATCTGGGGTCTAAAAGAGGCTCAAGGATGCCCTTACACTTCGCTTGGATCTGGAGGCGCCGGGTGTCCATGACTTCTTTCATGAGCCGGTCCCTGGCCTCCTTCTCCAGTCTCCACTGCTCAGCCTTCTTGGCCCAGGAGCGGTTGAGTTCAGCCTCCAGCAGCCGGTCCATCTCCACCTCCTGCCTCCTCTGCTCCTCCAGCTGCTGGGCCAGGTACTCCCGGTACCTCTGCTGCTCCCCGCGAAGCTCCAGCTGTGCACAACAGCATTTCACCATGGGTACAACACAAACACATGTGCCAGCCCTGAGCAACAGTGATAGATCTGGAGACCAATTCCTTTTGTGACGCAGTCTCTCAGTTGCCTGCTAGATGATTTCAACAGGAATATTATAATAATGCTATGAACTCAAAAGAAGAGAGGATCTCTTTCATTCCTTGCAACGGGAATTCATTTATGCATTTATTTATCATTTTTCAGGTGCTTCTTAGGAGCTTGTTCAGGTCTCATCATGGAATAAAGGAAAATGTTTTTGCAAGAGGTAAAACTTTGAACAGAAATGCTGTTATTAATTACAACTATTTCACATAGTAGTATTATTTGCCCTGCAGGAGCAGGAACACAGAGAGCACTTTATTTAGAATTGATCTGCTGCATTGACAGAATCGATCTGCTTTTACAGATCAGAGGACACTGAGATCAGTCCACATTTTCTTCGGCTCATTAGAACGTAGTGATCAAAACCACCACAGAGGTGAGCATCCTGGAGGTCTGTGTGGCAGAGGGAGGAGAAGAGAGTGGAGACAGGAGGGGCTGCGGGCTCACCTTCCTGTGCTGCCTCTCCGCGGTCTCGTCCTGCTCTTCGTGCAGCAGCTGCTCCATGATCTTCATGTCCAGCGCCAGTTCCTCCTGCTGCTCGCGGGCCAGCCGCTTCATCTTGAGGCGCAGGGACTGGTCCAGCAGGCGGCGCGTCTGCTGCTGGCTCTGCAGCCGCTGGCGCTTCTCGCGCTCCTCCTCCAGCCTCCGCATCTCCCGCTGCTCCTTCTGCCCCGCGGGAGAGAGCCCACGGTTAGCCGGAGCCGGGACACAACACTTCCGGTCGGCCCAGTTCTCCCAGCTCTCCTACTGCTGGCCTGTTGCACCTCCGGGAGCGCTTCACATCTGCATTGTGTCAACACTCAAGGTTCTCTAACAAGTCAAACCAGCGAGCAATGAACAGTGAAACACCAAGCTGAGACCAGAACTAAGAGTTAAACCCCCCTTCATTCCCCAAAGGGAGGCAATGAAGGGGCTATGAAAAAAGATGGGAGTGTGGAACAAGCTACCGGGCCACACTGTCGAAGCCGATACCCTGCCTTTTTTCAAGAAACAGCTGGATGAGATCCTTGGATCTCTTACTTAATCACTAACTACAAACATGTTAGATGCACTGAACGACCACCTCCTGCTTGTAACCTTTATTCTCGCCATTTGTTTGTAACCTCTGATCTTATGCTCATTTCCAACAGCAAAGGACAATAACCCAGGAGAACCGTGAGGATTCGGATACAAAGATCTGCATGGCTTTTTCCTGGAGTGCAAACTTTTGCTCTGTATTTCCTAAAGGTAATTAGGAGAGTTTAACGATGCACACCTCGCGAAAAACAAATGTATTAGAACTTAAGAAATAGTTTGGGAAATTAGCTGAATTTGGAATGTTTCAATGATCTGGCAATTTTTACATCGAAGGAAAAAAGTACAAAATCCTTGTTCGGTTTTATCTCTCCTGACATCTTCACAACAAATTAATTAAAGCTGTATGAATATCATCAGGTTTGCATAAATTAAGTCAAAGGCAATGAAGTAGCTGTAGTTTTGATATGAAGTCCAACCCCAAGGAACACTAAAAATGTCCGTGCTTTCATAAGTCAGTATCAGCACACATAAATCACAATCATGGTGCCATGTGTTCACAAAGATTTTAAGCAGTGAAAGAAATAAATGTCTGATTTATTGACTGAATACAAAGCACTTTTAGTTCAGAGTAATTATAGAGAATGGCTGAACTAGACGTCCTATTTCAAACTAAACTTTACAAGAGTTTCCTTGTAAGTAAACTTTAGAAGAGTTTCCTGCTTTTGCCTTAAGTCTCAAGCAAACACAGGTGAATGGAAGACGTACTGTAGTCATTTACATAGCTTGGTATTTTGCTGGAGCAATTCAGATGAAGGGGACAACAGAAGTGTCTCATCTGGGATTTAAACTTGCATCCTTCTAGTAACGGGTTCAGAACCCTGACCCCTGCTCTACACTGCCCTACACATACTCTTACACAAGAACCCTTAACTGGGAGACATGGATGTCACAAAGATTAGTGAGCTCAGGTACCAGCAGCTGTGCCTCCTCCTCCTTCAGCAGCTTGGCCTGCAGTCTCTGCGCCTCAGCGTCAGCTTTCTGTACATCCAGGAAGTCTGCCAGCTCGCGGCTCCTCTCCCTTTGCCGTTGGGCTTCCTGGCCTTCCCTCTCCTCTTTGGCCTGTCGGTCCTTCTCCCACAGCTGGACAAAGAGCTCCTCCTCTTCCTGCTGCTGCCGGCGCATCCTCTCCTTCAGGGACAGCTGGGCCGTCCTCTCGGAGCAGACCTCATCCTGCCTGCGGCGGGTCATCACTGCCCGCAGCTCCTCACACTGCTCCCTGGACACAGACACAGAGGCAGGGTCTCAGGCCAATCACCCCCTTGTCTGCCCCCAGGACACACACACATGGGCAGGGTCTCAGGCCAATCACCCCCTCGTCTGCCCCCAGGACACACACACACAGAGGGGCAGGGTCTCAGGCCAATCAGCCCCTCGTCTGCCCCCAGGACACACACACACAG